CTTGAAAGTGTGTCCACATTACAATTAAATTTATTTACTATATTTAGCTGCAGTGTATTTAACTGAATTGAATCAGAAAATACAGGTCAAGTTTTACTTTGAGGTCTGTACGTCAAAGATCAAGGTGGCAGTGACTTGGAACTGTTTCATTGTTCCCTGAAAATAACTAATGAATGACTTGCGGGTCTTGTTAGAATGTCAGATAATAACTTATGAACGACGTGATCGATTTTTGTTTTTTGATACACAGCTGTAACATTTTAAAATACAGATGAGGCTTTACTGTAAAATCTAAAGGTCAAAGGTCAAAATGACTCAGTATAAGTGAAATCCATTCTTATAAACGTTGCCCTACCTCTGTGATGAAGCCGTATTGTAGGGGTATAATTCGTCACTTTTGTGACAGTTCTAGTTTTAGGTAGCAATAGGTTTGAATCTTGTTCTGTTACAGCTATAAAAAAACCCTGTGACACCTCATTCTGATATAATCCATCGCCACAAGGAAATAAGTGTCTCCTGCCTAACGCCATGTATGGGAGCAAATAATGCCCTTTTTTGCCATCTGTGTTATGACGCAATTGGGCGATAGATATCTTTAAAAATGAACATCTTGCTCAGAATATACGTTCCTTCAGAAAAGATTTGACGGATTCTCGCGTTTAAAAGTAAAAAATCCGATTCCAAATACTTAACAAAAGTTGCAAAGGATTTTGCGCAATATACGATGTGCTGGCCAATAATAATAGTCAGACAAAATCAGAAATAAAAGGGCAAAACGATTTTTCTAATATCTATCTTAACTGGATAAGTGTCTTCTTTCTACCCTTTAAAGTGACTAAGGATACAAAACGTCTCTGGCTTCAATATAGAATAATACATCGTATTTTAGGTACTAACGTATTACGTTCGGGACAACGACAGCTGTTCATTTTGTAATGCCAATCCAGAAACAATAAAGCATTTATCTTGGGAATGTGACATAGTCAATACTTTACAAGGGACGGCAGGTCTGGTTAACAAACAGAATTCCAAATACATCTTTTCATTTTTCACAGCAATCTGTCATTTTTGGCTGTTCCCGTTACACAGTCCCAGATAATGATATATTTTTATAATTAAAACAGTATATTGACAAAATTGACAAATGTAAAATTAAGTCCGTATTGCGAAGCTTAGAGGCTTTTCAAATCAATTATTATTTTTGGTTAAAACATAAATACTCATTGCCAAAAAGATGCTTAGGTTTAAGGCAATACAGGATGTATGGAAAGAATACAAAAAATTAGTCAACGAAATCGAACGTGCCAAGCATTATTAGCTGTAGCTTACTCATTGTTGTTATGTTACTTAACTCTTGAGTCATTGAACGTTTGTGCAGATTCAACTTTGCCTTTTTTTAATTATAAAAAATACATAATTATAGTTCTTTGCAAATGTATGATTGTGTGTGTATTATTTCAGGACATTGTTCTTGTATCAAAGTGCATTTAATTTGAAATGGACAAAGGCGGTATTGCATGATACTGTTAGATCTACAAAAGCATTTGATACAGTTGATCACACTATACTGCACATGAAGAAGTTCTTTTTCTTCTTCTTAATGGAGTACCTATGGTGTCCCCCTTATGTTCATTTTAGGTCCTCTTTTATGTCTAATATATGTCAATGACATGTCTGCAACCCTAAGCAATAAGCTTTATTATATGCACAGGTACAAGTATCAGACCTGGGAAGAAAAAATATGATTAGATTTTCTTCCCAGGTTCGATATTCGTGCATGTGATTATATGATGATGACTCAGGTATCCTTGTATCTGGTAAAATAAATCTTAAGATTGGTTAATTGACTATAAATTGTTTTTGCATCTTGGCAAGACAGTGTCTATTCCTTTTGGTTTAAGTTTCAACTTAAACTGGGCCTAGCCTCCAGGTCACATGAAATGGTACAGCTATAAAGTACACATCTTTTGTTAAGTATTTAGGTCAAATTCTTTTGGCGTCGCCCCTTGATGCTTTGCATCAATGCTTTTCTTGTTGTCTTTTTTGAATAATTTCATTTTCTTGTGCAATAAAACATTTTTTCCCTAAAATGAGACTTGGTTTTCCATATGCGTTTCACAGTAAGCATTTACCATACCAGGTTGTACAATAACTTAATTTGGTCCGTAAATCAGTCTTTCATATACAATACACAAAGTCTTCTGAACTTCATTCAGAATTCATGTCTCATTATTGTGAGCAAAATTCTGAGTTTCCTTTAGCTATAAGCAGGAAAATGTTTAATTATCCCCCGCCGAAAAGGCGGTTGGGGATATAAAATTAGTCTCCGTCCGTCCGCCTGTCCTTCCTTCAGTCTGTCCTTCCGTCCTCATTTTAGTCCGACCATATCTTAAAAAGTATTTGAGGTATCAACTTGAAACTTCATAGGTGGATAAATCATATTTAGGAGAAGTGCAGTGCACAACAATGATGATTCTACCATACATAATTTTTCAGTTATTGCCCTTTGTTATTTTTCAAACTCAATTTTTGTCCAGAGCATAACTCAAAAAGCCTTTAAGATGGATAGATCTCACTCAGGAGGTGTGCAGTGCAAAAAAGTGATAACTCTACCCCTTCATAGTTTTTGAGTAATTGCCCTTTGTAATTTTGCATACTTTATTTTCCACCTGAGTGGAGCATAACTAAAAAAAATCTTTGAGATGTCAACATGAACTTCATTCATTCGTGGATTGATCTTATTGAGGAGGAATGTTGTGCGAAAGAATGATAACTGTACTGATTATATTTTTTTAGTTATTGACATTTGTTATTTTTCATACTTTTTGTCCGGAGCATATCTCAAAAAGTGTTAGAGGTAGATCTTACTCAGGAGGTGATAACTCTACCCTTCATACATGTATTTTTTGAGTTATTGCCCTTTGTTATTTTTCATACTAAATTTTTCACCTGAGTTTTTCTCTAAAAAAAGCTTTTGAAATGTCAATATGAAACTTCATAGGTGGATATATCTTATTAAGGAGGAATGTTGTGCACAAGAATGTTAACTCTGCCCTTTATAATTTTTGAGTTATTGACATTTGTTATTTTTCATACTTTTTGTCTGGAGCTAATCTCAAAAGTGTAAGAGGGAATAACTTGAAACTTCATAGGTGGATAGATCTCATTGAGGAGGATTGCAGCACGCAAGAATGATAACCTACCGTGCATTGTTTTTCAGTTATTGTCCTTTGTTATTTTTCATACTTAATTTTTGTCCCAGAGTATAACTACAAAGGCCTTTGAGATATAACATGAACCATCATAGGTGGATAGATCTTACTCAGGAGGTGATAACTCTACCCTTCATATTTTTTCAGTTATTGCCCTTTGTTATTTTTCATACTAAATTTTTCACCTGAGTGGAGCATATTTCTAAAAAAGCTTGTGAAATGTCAACATGAAACTTCATAGGTGGATAGATCTTATTAAGGAGGAATGTTGTGCACAAAAATGATAACTTACCCATTATAATTTTTGAGTTATAGCCCTCTGTTATTTTCATACTTTTGTCCGGAGCTTATTTCAAAAATTGTTAGAGGTTACAACTTCATAACTACAAAAGCCATTGAAATATCAACATGAAACTTCATAGGTAGATAGATCTCACTCAGGAGGTGTGCAGTGCAAAAGAGTGATGACTCTATCCTTCATAGTTTTTGAGTAATTGCCCTTTGTACTTTTTCATACTTAAATTTTTCACCTGAGTGGAGCATAACTAAAAAGGTCTTTGAGATGTCAACATGAAACTTCATTGATGGATTGATCTTATTGAGGAGGAATGTTGTGCGTTTATAATTTTTGAGTTATTGCCCTTTGTTATTTTTCAAATGTTTTGTCCGGAGCTTATCTCAAACAATGTTAGAGGTATTAACGTGAAACTTCATAGGTGGATAAATCTCATTGAGGAGGAGTGCGGCACACACCTACCCTGCATTATTTTTCAGGTATTGCCCTTTGTTACTTTTCATACTTAATTTCGTCCAGAGCATAACTACAAAAGCCTTTGAGATATCAACATGAAACTTCATATGTGGATAGATCTCACTCAAGAGGTATGCAGTACACAAGAATGATAAATTATTCTGCTCTACTACATATGCATGGCTCTTGTAACAAGTTACATTACAATACTTAAAAACCTTCTTAACAAGTTAACCTGTCAATTAAACTCAATGCTATTTGGAGATACCTTAACATTATACTTAACTGTTTTTTTGTTGTATTTTTTCTTTTTTTCGCCGTGACAATCACATTGCTGCATTTCCCAGCAATTTTTTACTTGTTCAATAATTGCTGACTTTAATATCTTGTTAACAATTCAAAACATAATGGTTTGCGTGTTTGTTAAACTTGTGATTTAGGTTTTAAAACAGCATAATGGTACGCTTATGAACATAAAGAAGTCAATATCTATCGGTTCATTTGAATAGTTTATTAAAGAACAACATGTAAATCATTTTTGTAATGAACTGGTTAAAAAGTCAATGTACTGCCATACTACGGCGTCACAATTATTAACAACTTTGACAATTTTAAGTACGAAAGTTATCATGTGCACGTATTTTACCTAAATAAAAAAATAAGAAAACAAATATCATAGTTGTTTCTTTATCACAGTCTTTAACATATTTTGGTAATTATGTAAAATCATGTAAGTTATATTTCAGGCTGTTACCATTTGAAATTGTCTATAAATTATTAATATTTATGGTACTAAAACAATTTTCAAACATAAAGGAATATGTAAAATACGTAAAGGCCGCTAGAGATAATGAAATATCCAGATATTGTCCAAGATATTGGCAAGAGCACTGCTCTTATATGCAGATCTATAATGCCCGCTGGCAAGGCTTTTGTGACGGGTGTATTTTGCGACAATATTGCCATTGTTAGTAACTTACTTTTCTTGTAAAATGATCACAAATACATGTACTTTTGATCTGGATAAAGTGTTATCAATACGATTAAAAAATGTAACGCATAATGATCTGACTGGCACTAATATTATTTCATTTTTTCGTGCCCTTCCAAACAGTCAATCATCGGTGAACTTTCTAAACTTTGAAAGAGATACGGTTTCTAATTTTTACCGCTGGAAAACCAATACTGAGAAAGAACAGAGTAGATAATTTTCACGAACAAAAATAGCGTTGTTCATATAGCCAAAAGGTAAACTGGCAAAACAATTTCGCCCATTAAAAAATTGACTCTATTATTTCCAATTTTATTTCATTTTTTTTTCAAAGTACTTCCAACATTTTTTTCTCTTATGAAAATCAACAAGGTCATTGAACACACTAGTATGACTACACAGAACGGATACGGTATTTCGATCTTACCTACGCTAAGAAATAAACATGTAAATAATAGTAATTTAACGATGGGAGTTTTCTACTAAGTAAATTCCAATAAACCTAGTCAAAGTCCACCAAAATTTAGTAAATTTAAAGATATAAATGTAAACAGTTCATAGTTATAGTGGAAGAAACCGAAAGTACAAAATGTGTACAGTTGTCATTTTATAACTGTAAATCAGTGATTGACAAATATCTTTTCAAACATTATTTTTGCGAAATATTCTAAAATTTCCTATGGACTTAAGTCAGATTGTCGTGTTCTTTATATGAACATACTAAGAAAAATATAAAAAGCAGATGATATTACACACAAAGGCTTAATAAAAAATTGCAAAAATTATATAAACACAGCAATAGTGTGCACCATAAGATATCAGACAAAGGTTTAAATGTGTAAAGCTTTCACGAATGATTGACAAAATGACATTAGCAAAACAACACTCTTGTACTCTGTTGTGTAACATCAAACATATGTGACAAATGTTTAAATGTAACAAAGCTTTCTTGAATTACTAGTATTGAAAAATGCTATAAACATATCGTGAACACACTATTTCGTGTTACATTATAAAATATGTGACGAGTGTTTAAATGTATAAAACTTTCATGAAAGAATGGAAACAAATGTCACTAACACAATGACAAACCATATGCTCTAATCTTTCGACTAATGTAAACTGTTTCAATGTATATAGTGTGGAAAAGGATTGAGAAAGAAATGTAAATTTAATAAACAAATCTACCATACATAAAACAGAGGTAACTAAAAAGCGTCATACTTTTACCATTAATTATGCTAATTAAACAAACAATCATCAGAAACAGCGTCGTATTATAAAACAAAAAAGGCCAACACAATCAAAACAAAAGTCACACGGCTTAGAGATACTCTGGTAAATCCACTTGTTTCTGCAATAAAAAAATGAATATTATAACGCATATGTACAAAATATTAAAAGTTTTAAGAATTAAGATTTACACATTTTATTTTTGATAACCTTTTATAAAGAAGAGATTAAAAACTTGATGGTCCACAACTTGAAAGGACTCCTCTAAATTCAAAATTTATACACACAATTTATGACATTTTATACCGTATGTTCAATAATTCAAAAATAACTGCTATCAAATTTTAGTGTTGTTCAATCTTATTCTCTCACAACAAATAACATTATTTTATAAATCCTATGTTAGTTGTTAAAGGAATAATTTACGTAATAGTCCTGAATGTATATTTCATGTTTTGGAAAGATAATATTTTGCTTTGTGCAATTCCAAAAAAAAATCACAGCATCATCTGTTGAGAAACATTGTTTCGGTCAACGTGATTGTTGTTGAGGAGATTTGTCGGTTTACAGAACTTAAATTTTTGCTGACGTTTTTTTTTAAGACGTGAATAATTAATACAGTTGTTGTAGAGAGGTTATAGGTCGACCTCTTCAGAGATCACATTGAGACTACCATGTTGTCCTTAAGTAGAATAAACTTACCGGGTTTGGTTGGCTCTGACAATTCATTGATTGATCTTGCAATGGCATCTGATGTCTTCCCAAGGAAGTTAATGTTGTCCTCAGTAAGCATCGTAGCTAGATCATCACAAGGATTGTGGTAGCATTCCACCATATCTCCACGGAAATTTGCTGTATAAAGAAACCATTGCACAATGATATAAACAAACCGCGATGCAAGTAATAGTTTGTGTATATCTCCCTAGGCAAGGATGTCATCAGTATTTTGAGCTTTGTTAAAAAAAAATGACAATAGTGATGATGATGTTGATTATCATGATGATGATGATGATTTTTGATATATTACCATGGAAAAGTCCTGCACTAAAACATCAAATACGTAAATATAAAGCAAAAGGTAGGTGGATAAATTCCTAATTTGTAGCAATTCGAATTTACTGGTAGGACTCGAGTTCGCGGCCGTAAAGGACAAGTGATTCGAAGACGACTACGTTGAACACCTACCGCGGAGGCAAAACCCAGTAATTTGTCTAAGATTTTTTGAATAACAAAACAAATACTACATGGACATTGCGTGAATGATTTCCTTCATGTAATGTTTTATAGCTAGACTTTATTACTGAAGTGTTTTACGTTAAAAAGATATAAAAAAAAAAGCAAAAACGGTTCAAGACTTTAAGAAATATGTAAATATTAACAATCCGCATAACCTGAGTGAAGTGTGACTAAATTTAGATTTAGTATATTTACAGTGCATATTTTATCACATTTACGTGATCATGTTATACATGTAAGCCCTTTATGCTAGCTTTAATTTCTGCACAAGTAGGTTAATAAATATAATAAGGTTTATCGGACCCACCCATCCCCTTTATAAATCTGAACCTGTATACTTCCTGACTGAATTTATTTTTCAAATTCTACCTCAAATTAATTTTGCATATTTTTATGTACATGTTATGACCTTTTCATAAAACTTGTTGCTATTAACATGAATAAAAGGATATTGGATGGTATTAAATCAACAAACTACTTTTAAACGTTTTATCTTTAATTTAATGCAAACAACTATGGTGAAAAAGAAAATAAAACACTGTTCATTTTTACTCTCAATGTAAATATTTAACTTAAGAAGTAACACTGATATAAATTACATTTTATTATTTCTCTCTAAAATATCGAGACAACTAATAACGCTTACCATCTTGAAAACCTATGTGCATGAAAATAACGAAATACATTATATAAAAACGTCCAAACTCAGTAGATTCTGTTCTTAAATGATAATTGATGCGTTCAATTGATTTGAATCCATACATCTATGAATATTAATTAAGCACATACTATGTGCACATGAATACATCAGTATAAGATACAGGACAGTTTCGTTTAGACACATATCTACAATGTTTTCAAGATCTAACCATCAAATGCTATGTAATTTGTGGTAAACGTATCTGCAGCAACTGAAAATTTACACACGTAATTAATACATTGTACTGTCATTATAAAAATACTGTCATTATAAAACAAACACTGAGCTAAAATATCTACAACGGAAAAGTCTAATTATGCAATTAAAAGCAGGTTTACTGCAGGTTAAAGATGTTTCTCGATATATACTGAATGTCATTTATATTTTTTAAAAAATACTTAAACATTTAAAATTTAATCAAAACGAAATTTGAAAAGAATGTTCATAAATGCGAACGGTTTAATGGTATAATAAATCATAATAACTTCAACGGATTAGCAACACATACAGAGGGTAATACTGATCAACACTGCAAATAAAAAAAGAATATCATAAATTAACTTTCTCATGAAATATTATATTGTTACAATGGACAGTTAAATCAATGGGGTTCTCAATCTTGACAAAACGGAGCATTGTGAGATGTATAAATGAACCTTCATTAAGTTAACTCAGTTTCTTACAACATCTATACGCAGTTGATAGGCAATAATATTTATAAATACTTGATTAATATGCACAACATATATAAAAAAACTTAATTAATATCCATAAAAATATGAAAATTATGAACAGTATATCTTTTGAACACATCAATGATCATATTATACATGAATATTGAACACCATACATGTATACTGAGGGTACCTGATCAGCTCGGATGTTTTTGTGTGTTTGTGCATGAGTAGGATCGGTGGTCTCCTTATTTTTGACAAGATTAATAAGTTCTTGTTTAAATAAACAAACTTCTTACGTCACTAAAATTTGTACTGAGATATAACACTGTGGGTAAGCAACTTTGGTCATGTGACCACAAAAGTCAAGGTACACGCCCAAAATAGCTTGGCTGAGGTAAGTTTTTTAGTGATTATTATATTTTTCTGTCAAGCCTTTTTAAAGTATGCTACATAACCTACCGACTGCGGCTGTTCCGATGCTTTCTAAAAATGTATTTAGTTTCGTCTAACGTTTTGTATTTTATGAGAACATTCAAACAATATTTGCAAATTGTCGATGACAACGTACACACTATTGTGTGAAAGTGTTGATGAAAACTTAATAAACGATACGCATGTCAGTTCTTACTTAAAATATATAAGAGAATGTTTTAATAAAAAAGAACTGGTTTCCTGCTGTCATGTTTTGTATTTATTTAATAATTGACCAACTTACAGAAATGTCAACGTACACATACAGTCTAGAAAGTGTAAACGTACACACTCACAATTCAGTTTGATAGTGGTCTGAACATTAGGCTTCAACTTCGGAGAAGGTGGCTTTTTCTTACAAAAAGTTGGCTTTCAAATTTAGATTGCCCTCTCAAACTGTATATAAGTACAGGTTTTTACAAAGGAAAAAAGTTGCAAGTATATTCATATCATCACAAATAAGCTAAAACAGCCTTTAACTTTTTTATAATGTTATTTATTTGTTCTTTTGAGATTTTCTTTTAGAAGAAAAACTCCAGTTACTAAGACAGGCTAATGATTTGCTGAAACAGCAGTTTTATATACTGTATTAACTTAGATCATTTTACTGTCATTTAATAACGAAAACAGCCAGGATAAGCGTCTCTTGTTCAACCAACCTAGTGCCTTCTGTAGCACCAAACGTTTCCGTTGACAATGACGCCGAGTGAATTACCGGTATTTCAGCAGTTATGTCACTTTGACCCTATGATTACATCACGAACGTTCTATTAACATTATATTTTCAATAATATATCTCCTTGCACTAGTTATGTAATTGCCACATGTTATTGACATAGTTATTTAATACATGGGCTAGCTTAATAGACATGATATGTATTTTTGCATTTTCTTTGCCCTTTTTTTGCAAACCATGTCTGCTAATTTACAAGTCTATAATATCATATGTATTCAACAAAAATGTTCAAGTGCCATACATTTTAATAATTTGCATTGCAATCAAAATTTTAAATTCAAGCAAACCATTTTATTTGAGCAAAATATCGATAAAATGTCTGCATTGTAACAATCATTTCAATATATATTGTGGCATTTCTATGATTACTAGTAGGTCATATGACTGTTGTACTTGATATAACTTTTTAAATGTTTAAACAATGTCATTGATTCATATCTATAGCTCATACATTGCGCACAAAATAAGATATGTAAATTTATAACTAGTTACCATTTTCCAGTTACTGGTTTCTTGAGCAGTAAAAGCATTTTACTAGAAACTTGGTACTAGTAACTAACCATTTAACAAAAGAGTAATTTGTTAACCAACTTATAAAATTGTGAATTGTAAATGTTTATAAGATATTTTTAACATAAGTGCAAGTAGATATATTCTTGAAAATATAATGTTAATAGACCATTAGTGATGTAATCACAGCTAGGGATCAAGTGACGCAACTGCTGAAAAACCGGTAAAATAAAATTGTATCTCGGTGTCATCGTCAATCTTGGACCCTTTTGCTGCTTCGGAAGGCACTAGTTGGTTGAGCAAGAGACCCTTATCCTGGCTGTTTACGTTATTAAGATGACTGTAATTACGATCTATATTGTAATACGATCTATATTAATCCAGTATAAAAAATAAAAACGGCTGTTTCAGCTAATCATTAAGCAGTTTGAGTAACTGGAAATTTGTCTTCTAGAAAACAGAAGTACATAAATAAAAAAGTTAAAGGTTGCTTAAGCTTATTTGCGATGAAATGAATGCACTCTAAACTATTTCCTTTATAAAAATAATAGTAATTATATACAGTTTAAGAGGGCAATCTAAATTGAAAGCCAACTTTTTGTTGAAAAAGCCACCTATTTCTTAGTTGCAGCCTCATGTTCAGACCACTATCAAACTAAATTGGGAGTGTGTACGTTTACACTTTCTAGACCGTATGTGTACGTTGACATTTCTGTAAGTTGGTCAATGTCTAAATAAATACAAAAAATGAAAGCAGGAAACCAGTTCTTTTTTCATTAAAACATTCTCTTATATATTTTAAGAAATGAAATTTTACTTAGAACTGACATGCGTATCGTTTATTAACATATTATCAACACTTTTACACAATAGTGTGTACGTTGTCATCGACAATTTGCAAACATTGTTTGAATGATCTCATAAAATACAAAACGTTGGACGACATCAAATACATTTTTAGAAAGCATCGGAACAGCCGCGGTCGGTAGGCTATGTAATTAATAATTTGAATTGGCTCGATAGAAAAATAATCACTAAAAAACTTACCTCAGCCGAGCTATTTTGGCCGTGTACGTTGACTTTTGTGGTCACGTAATCAAAGCTGCTTACCCACGGTGTATAAACGCAGTGTAAAATGTCTTGTGGGAGGAAGAATTGTTAAACAGAACTTAAATTTCTGGAAACTTAAAGAACTATCCTGCACATTTCATTTTAGAACCACTCGTGACATTTTATTTTATAAAGGCAATAGTTATCTTTTTTATTTTATTTTAGAACTTTCCTTAACATTTCATTTTTGAATGTTAAAATCTATCATTAACATTTTATTTTAGAATGGCCAAAGAGATTCCTAGATTTCAGTGTGTACTTTTAAAATGAACCCGATTTTAGACCGCTTTAGGCCGACAAATATATATGGTTAATATTTGAAAAAAATTGATTTCATTTTGCGTTTATTTAAAGTTGCTTTCATTTGAAATATATGCAAGGCTGTGCAAACTTTTATTCGCAATTAATTACATAACATACCTGAATCTGTCAAAAATATCGCTGGTATATTGTCAAGCCAGAAGTTTCTGTGGGTCACTACGGAGGAAATTTCCAAACAAACTCATCA